TTTCCTTTCCTTTCCTTTCCTTTCCTTTCCTTTCCTTTCCTTTCCTTCCCTTTTTCTCCTTCCCCTCCTCCTCTTCCTCCTCCCCCTTGGAATTCTCCTCCTCCTCTGCCACTGTCATCTTCTTCTTCTTCTTCTTCTTCTTCTTCTTCATCATCATCATCTCCTCATCCTCCTCTTACTCCTCCAATTATCCTCCAACCACCACCACAACCACCACCACTATGGCTCTAGGTATTTAAGGATATCTTTAACAAACCAGTAGCTGACCATAAGCTAAAGGAACAGAGACCTCTCAGACCAAACAAGACAAAGAATACAGTCTTTAAAAATAGTCTGGAAAAGTCACCAAACAGACAAAGAACTACAATCCACAACAAGCAAGAACAACAAACTCTGAGGAGGCAAAGGAATCAGAATTCCAAAGTAACGACATTATAGTATACAAAATGCCTGTTTTCAACTAAAAATTATGAGGCATACAAGGAAACAAGAATGTGTGGTCCATTGATGGGAGGAAAGAATTAACAAAAACTGTCCCTGGGGAAGCCAGACATTGGGCTTACTATAACAAGACTTTAAATCAACTATTTTAAATATGCCGAAAGAGCCAAAGAAAACCATGGAAAAAGAACTAAAGGAAATCAGGAGAACGAAGGCTTAACAAGCAGAGGATGTGAATAAAGAGATAGAATATAAAAAGGAACCAAATAGAAGTTCTGAAGCTGAGAAGTATAATAGCTGAAATTTAAAAACTTGCCATAGGATTTCAACAGCAGACCTGAGCAGACATACATAGAACATTTTAACCAACAACAGAATACATATTCTTCTCAAATACACATGGGACATTTTCCAGGATAGATCATATGTTAGGCCATAAAATAAATCTCAATAAACTTAAAATGGTTGGAAACATACAAACTATCTTTTCCATTGACAGTGGAATGAAATTAACAGCAGAAGGAAACCTGTAAAGTTCATAAATAAGTGGAAATTAAACAAAACACTCTGAAACAACCAATGGGTCAAAGAAAAAAAAATCACAAAGGGAATTAGAAAATACATTGAGATGAATAAAAATGAAAATACAACATACTAAAACTTATGGGATGCAGTGAAAAGCAGTACTCAGAAGGAAGTGTATAGCTGTAAACATCTGTATTAAACAAGAAGAAAGATACCATATTGATAACCTAACCTTCCACCTTTAAGGACCTAGAAAAAAATAGCAAACTAAACCCAAAGCAAGAAGAAGGAAGAAATAATAAGGCCTGGAGCAGAGACAGCGGACATAGAGGAAAAGAAAAACATGACAGAATTAATGAAGCCAATAATTGGTTCTTTGAGAATATCGATAAATTGACCAATTTTTAACTAGACTGACTGAAACCAAAAATCCAGAAATGACTCCTATTATTAAAATCAGGAGTGGAAATGGAGACACTACTACAGACCTTACAGATAGAAAAAGCATTATAAGAGAATACTATGAGCAATTGTACATGACCTTATTAGATAAATAGATGAAATGGACAAATTCCTAGAAACACACAAACTACCAAAACTAGTTGAAGAAGAAATAGAAAAATTTAATAGGCCTGGAACAAGGCAACAGAATTAATAAAAATAATTGGATTGGTAATCAAAATTCTCCCAACAAAGAAAAGCCCAGGACAAGATGGCTTCATTGGGGAATTCTACCAAACATCTAACAGATTAACACCAATCGTTCTCAAAGTCTTCCAAAGAAATTGAAGAAGAGAGAGCATTTTCTAACTCATTCTATGTGGCCAGAATTACTGATACAAAAGCCAGGAAAAAACACCTCAGGAAAACTGTAGACTAATATCCATTATGAATAAAAATGCAAAAATCCTCAACAAAATATTTGTAAACTGAATCCAACAGTATATTAAAATCTGAAGTGAGATTTATTCCAGGAATGCAGGCTGGTTCAACCTACAAATACCAAAAACAAACAAAACAAAACAAAACAAAACACAAACAAATACCAATCTATGTAAAACACCATATTAATAAAATGGAAGTAAAAAACCCACATGATCATCTTAAGTGATGTAGAAAAGGCATTTGACAAAATTCCCACAATCCTGCATGATAAAAATACCCAACAAACTAGGAACAGAAGGGAAATTCCTCTACATGATAAAGGGCATCTTATGTAAAACTCACAGTTGACATCATACTTATTTTTGAGAGACTGAAAACTTTTCCCCTAAAATCAGGAACAAGACAAGGCTGTCTGTTTTATCCACTTCCTTTCAACATTGTACTGGAGGTTTAGGGAAGTTGGGCAAGAAAAGGAAATAAAAGGCATCCAAATTGGAAAGAAAGAAGTAAAACTATCTCTACTAATAGAGAAGATTCTAAGCAGTCTTCCAAAAAAAATCTATTAGAACCAGTAATTGTTGCAGGATACAAGATCAACATGCAAAAATCATTTATATTTCCATACACTAGAAACGAACCATCTGAAAATAAAATTAAGAAAACATTTTCATTTATAACAGGAACAAAAAGAATAAAATATTTAGGAATACACACAACCAAAGGAGGTGCAAGACTGATACAATGAAAACTATAAGACATTGTTGAAAAAGATTAAAGAAGGCCTAAATAAATGGAAAGACATCATGTTTATGGATTGGAGACTTCATATTGTTAAGATGGTAATACGCCCCAAAGTGAGCTACAGATTCAATGTCATTCCTACATGTACTGCATTGAATAGTAACCCTCCCCCCAATTCAAATCCACTTGGAACTTCAGAATGTTACCTTATTTAGAAATAGTGTCTTTGCAGATGTAATTAATTATGATGACATCATTGTGAATTAGGTTGGGCTTGTGAATCCAATGACAGGTGTTCTTTTAAGATGAAAGGGCACATAGAGGAGAGATACAGATAAGGCCATGTAGAGACAAAGGCAGAGACTGGAGCTATGCTTTCACGCCAAAGAATGCCTGGGGCCACCAGAGTCTTCAAGAGATAGGAAGAATTCTTCTTTTGGGCTTTAGAGAGAACGTGGCCCTGCTGACACCTTGATTTTGGATTTCTGGACTCCAGAGTTGTGAAGAAATTAATTTATGTTGTTTTAAGTCATGTAGTTTGTTGTGATTTGTTATAGCAACCCTGGGAAGGTAATACACTATCACTTTTCTAACTGCTAATTTAATTTAATTTAATTTAATTAATTATTTTTACTGAAATGAACAAACTGAGCCTAAAATTCATAAGGAATTGTAAGGAACCTCAAATAGCCAAAACAATCTTGAAAAAGAAGAACAAAATTGGAGGACTCACACTTCACGATTTCAAAGCTTACTGCAAAGATACAATAATCAAACCAGTGTGTTATTGACATAAGGATAGACATATATAGGTCAATGGAATAGAACTGAGTCTGTAAAAAGCCCATACAACTATGATTAGTTAATTTTAAATAAAGGGTGCCAAGACCATTCAATGGGGGAAAATAGTCTTTTTAACAAATTGTGCTGAGACCACTGGATATCTACATTTAAAAAAAATGAAGTTGCACTTATCTCCCACCATGGATAAACGTTAATGCAAAATGGATCAAAGACTTAAATGTAAGAGCAAAAGTTATAAAACTCTTAGAAGAAAACTACAGTAAATTTTCATGATCTTAGATTTGGTAATCATTTCTTAGATGTGACACCAAAAGCATGGACATCAAAAGAAAAAAAATTAGATAAATTAGACTTCCGCAGAAAACAAAATTTTGTGCATCCAAGGACACTAACAAGAAAGCAGAAAGGAGACCCACAGATAGAAACTGGCATTTTACAAAAGTAAATATCCAAGTGGCCAATATTCATGGGAAAAGGTGTTCAACCTTGATGGTCATCAAGGAAAAGAATGAAAACAGAATGAGAATTGTTGTACAGTTGGAAGAAAAAGATTCCATTGGGGCATCTGGGTGAGTCAGTCAGTTAAGTGTCCAACTCTTGGTTTCAGCTCAGGTCATGATCTCTTGGTTTCATGGGTTTGAGCCTCGCATCTGGCTCCGTGCTGACAGTGTGGAGCCTGCTTGGGATTCTCTGTCTCCCTCTCCCTCTCTGTCCCTCCCCGACTCATGCTGTCTCTGTCTCTGTCAAAATAAATAAATATATTTTTAAAAAAAGATTCTATTAACTATTTCAGAACCTGTTATGGACTGAACACTGTCTCCCCCAAATTCATATGTTGAAACCCTAATCCCCATTGTGGCTATTTAGAGACAGGGCCTTCAGGGAGGTAATTCAGGTTAAATGAGGTCATAAGGGTGGGGCCCAAATTCAATAGGACTGGTGTCCTTACAAGAAGAGACACCATGGATGCTTGTGGATGATGGCGCACAGAAAAAAGCCCGGTGAGGACAAGAAAGCCCAGGAGAGAGGCCTCAGGGGAAACCGAACTTCCCACACCTTGACCATCCACTTCTAGCCTCCAGAAGTGGGAAGAAATAAATTTATATTGTTTAAGCCAAAAAAAAAAAAATGCAGTGAAAACTGAATTTTATTGGTAGTCAATTTGGAATCTGTGTAAATGATTATATGGTTTTCTCCTTTGTTCAATTGTTGTGATGAATCATCACGCTGACTTACAAGGATATGCCTTACTTGTCTTGTGAGTGGGATCCCGTGCCAGTTATTAAGCTAACTTCTTTCATAACTAAACCCACCGCACTATGCTGGGCTTTCTTATATTGAGCCAGGACTCCGCAAACCACATCTCTTCTTTGCCAGCAGGCACCCTGTTAGGCTCTGCTAATAGAGGGCACTGGAGGAAAATTACAAGCCTGGGGGAAGAAGGAACTTGCTCTTTCCGGTTTCCAGGGGGCTCCTTATCTGCCTCCTCCTCCTGCAAGTCTCCACCACCGAGATATAGTTCCATCTGGATCCAGATTTCAGCTTTTCCAACACTGTCAAACCCAGCCTCATTGTGCCCCTCCGTAGAGGTCTGGCTCCTTGTCCCAAGAGGCCTTTCTGGAGCCTGGTGGTACCAGCACCAGTTGAGTGGGTCTTAAACTCACTGAGTTTAAGCTCTCCAAGTTTCTAGGGTTTCACAATTTTGGCCTCTTCCTTCTGTTTCTTCAGCCCTTTTCCTGGGGAAAATAGTTACTTCCTGTGGTTGTTCCCCCCATGACACCTTAGAATTCTCTTTCCAGACTTTCCAGTTACTTACACTAGTTAACCACTAACTAGGTAACTTTATACTAGTTAACAGTTCTTTGTATGAAATGCTTTTTTAAAATAACCGGTGTGCTTTATGTGTCCTTGTTAGATCTGACAAAAGTTGTAATATCATAGGAGGATGGTTCATGGACCATTATCCAATCATGATCTTAGCTGGACATTTCCTTTCAAAGTCTTAATTCAGACAAGTCCTGAAGCCCTGCACCACCAAGGAGAAAGACACGTGGGTACAGTAAGGAGCGGGAGGCAGAGAGGCTGGAGGAAAGCTGCTGTATTAAAGTGTGAAGTGCACAGACGACCCATCTATCTGACTTGGGCTTTGGTTCCCTCGTTGGCGAAATGAGGAGAATCAAGCAAATGATCAAACATGGACCCTTCACATTTTGACCTGCCATAATGTTAGGTTTGGGTTTCTGTTGGGTTTCTGTCATCTATACTCTCATTTATGAAGGATGTGGGCCTTAATATCCACTGGGACACTGCTTATTTTTTTGTAAGGTAATCAAAGATCAATCTCCCGCCCAACAGTTGGAAGGCCAGTTGTAAGTATTATTGACACAGTGTTAGTTTCTACTGGGCAATCTATGGATTAATCTCACATGTGTTTGACTTGGAGTTCTTACCTGGGAGAAAACCAGTCTGAAAGCTTTAATTCCTTTGATGGACTGTTCATAGACCTATCAGAAGAAATAGTGCAAAGAATCACACTGTATCTAGTTGAGCTTGAGATAATTGAATGTCTACCAAATCAAGGGTTATATTATGATATGATGTAAAATGCGAGATAAGCATGAAGCAGTAAGAAAAGCAGTGATGAACTTTGAAGGTAGTGGCATGGAAAATCATGATTTCTAACCTTGACTGAGGCTCTGTGCTGCCCAGAAATCTTTATGTGTTTCTACAGTGCTCATTCTCCTTCTTCTCACTGATAAATAGCAGTCATCACATGAAACCTCCTTCTATTTTCAGCCACCTCGCCTCCAAATTCATCTAGAGTACTGATTCCCGCCCCCCCCCCCCCCCATTGCATTGGAAATAGATCCCTACTATCTGTCTAAGGTTAGCCTTAAATATCCTGTCTGTTCAGAAGCCCTGATTTGAGAGTCATTCTCAGAAAGGTTTTTCCTAGGCTTTCTATTTGATCGATTGACATGCTTGCAGGCATTTTCCTGTGGCTTCAAATTTGTATGTGCAACTAGACTTCTCCCGGGAATTTAAGGCTCAGACATCCAACTGCATTCTGAAGTCTCCTGCTTGAAGTTCGCACAGATACCACGAGAAGAAGATGCTTAATGTGGAAGTCATCATGTCTTCCCCACGGTAGGAACCCTTCAAATGTTGCTTTATCTCACTGGCTCCACTTGGATTAGCAAGGCAGAAGTGTGAGAATCATTCTACACTCAGAGCATTCCCAAAATCCCAGCCCCAAATCCATCTTTAAACCCTGCTGGTTTTATCTCCAAAACGTCTCTCAAATCCATTCCCTATCTTCATTCTCTGCCACCGCATGACTCCAAGTCACCACCATCTCTTATTCGGGCTATTGCAGTAGCCTTCTAATTGGTCTCATCATCTGTGCACTTTAACCAAGACTTTGCAGTATGAAAAATGTTAACGGTGTGCAAACTGAAAGAGAATAGTATAATGACCCTCCATATTCCGATCCCCCCAAATTAACACTGTGATACCCTCTCTGCCTGTCCTTGTCCTGGCCCTTTGCAACCCATTCTCCATATGTCCACTCTGCTTCCTCTATCATGTTCCTGAAGCTCCAGTTGCTCCCATGTTATTCTTCTGTTTAACAGTGTTCAGTGGCTTCCCATTGGCCTAAGGATCATGTTCACACTCCTTCTATGGCCATAGCATTCTGCATAATCTGACCCTTCACCTTGTTCTAGCCACATCTCCTACGGGGCCCCACAATTAGAATGTTCCAGACTCACTGGCCTTTTTAAGTTTCCTTAAACACTCCACGCTTCAACCAGCTAATTCTCACACAGCCTTTAGGTCTTATTTTAAATATCCTCACCTAAGGGAAGTATTCCCTAGCCAGCTAGAGGAGGTTAGATTCCCTTCATTAATGGCTAATACTTATGGAATACTTTCCCGAGTATTATCTAATTTAATCCACCCTTATGAGATAGGTACTACTATTATTATCATCCTCAATTTACTAGACAAGGAAACTGAGGCACGTGGACCTATTATTCTCTTGTCCATAGTCAGACAGCAGGTGGAAAGACCAGAAGTTGGGCCGGGGTCCTTACTTCCTCCTTGCTATACACTCTAATGGCACCCCGGCTAACACATCTTTGGAGAGTTGATCCTGGGCTGAGTTAACGAGGGGCAGCTGTGGAGCTGAGTCGTACGTCACAAGTCCTTCTTTGTGCCTGTGTACACAGATAGGAGCACTGCGGCGTCCAGGGTGTGACTGAGACGTGGCCTTCTACGCAGGCACCCGCCTTATCGACAGCAAGGCCTTTGGTTACTGAGTATCGGTGTGTTAAGGCTTTAGAATCATGATGCGAAGAAGACCTAATATTAATGATGGGATGATTGTCAGATTGTGTTGCATTGTGTACATTTTATCAGAAAACACTTTAATTCATTTTTTCTCCCAGCCTCTGCTGCAGCAGACCTTCCTTGCACGTTCCCACCTTTGTCTACAGGTTTTCCTGCTGTTTTCAGGTGGTTGACTGTGAGCCACGGCTCCGTCTGGGGGAAACATACTCTCCCATGAAAACCATCTTACTACATTATTTTCATGCACAGAGCAGCTCACCTGCATGTAGAGTCATGGTCTTAGCGGGGGTGTTGGACCACATAGAACCAACTGAGACAAGGCCCTTGGACACAACAAGCATCAGAAAGGAAGCTTCTTGCACTTCATTAGGAATTTGGGTCTTACACAATCTTTGGGGAAGTTTTCCTCTCCGCGTACATTCTGATAGTGTGATTTTGTAGGGGGCTTGTGGTTAATACAATCTCCCAAGAGTCTTTTGGCTGAAACTTTTCTCCTGTGTGATTTCCCAGAGCTTTAAAAGACCCAAGATTCCTGGAAGCTGGGTTCTGTTTCCTGTAACACGTTTCCTCTAACCAGTTCTAACTCCTCCATTACAGATGGCACCCCGCCAGTCTGCTCTACTTTGACTCCTAGTACTCTGACCCTAAAGGAGCATCTCCAACATACGTCAGTAAAATTGCTTTGGTTTACTGTTGCCTGGAGGAACCAAGGACTTGCAGGTACTCCACTGCCCCCAACGGGTTTCGTCCTCAAAGAAGGGGTCATAGCATATTTGTAAATCGGACTTACCAGCACCGATATATCTTCTGTAGTTTCTTTGTGCTTAGGATAAACAAAAAACATTACATTACTTTTAAACTTACATAAGATGTTTCCATATTTAAGATGACTAGAGTTATACTCCAGCAATCCATTCATCTTATTCCCTAACATTACCAAATATTCAATGAACACATAATATGGACAAAATATTTGTGTCCCCCTCAAATTTGAAGGTTGACATCCTAACCCCCAACATGATGGCATTAGGAAGTGGGGACTTTAGGACATGATTGGGTTATGAGGTTGGAGCCCTCATGAGTGGGATTAGTGGCCTTACAAAAGTGATACCAGAGAACTCCCTTGTCCCTTCAACCATGTGAGGACACAGCAAGAAGGTGGCTGTCCATGAACCAGGGCACCAAGTCTGCCAGCGCCTTGATCTTGGACCTCTCAGCCTCCAGAACCGTGAGAAATAAATTTCTGGCGTTCATAAGCCATCCTGTCCATGGTATTCTGTTATAGCAGCTCGGACGGACTAAGACATGTACCATGTGCCAAGGACATTATTGGTTGCAGACATACAGTAATGAGCATGATAAAAAATCACCACAGTTAAGGACTTCACACACTAGATCTTAAAAAAGAAAACCTAATTCTTTGAGTTACAAATGAAAGAAAAACTTAATACTCGAAACGATGGAACTTGTTGATGGCCAATGAAATCTTTCTGCTTGTGTACGTATGTGGACTGCAAATACCATACCTAGTGCCAGAAGCCACCAATATTAGGGATGTCTCTTTAAAAATATGCTGCCTGGGGCGCCTGGGTGGCGTAGTCGGTTAAGCGTCCGACTTCAGCCAGGTCACGATCTCGCGGTCCGGGAGTTCGAGCCCCGCGTCAGGCTCTGGGCTGATGGCTCAGAGCCTGGAGCCTGTTTCCGGTTCTGTGTCTCCCTCTCTCTCTGCCCCTCCCCCGTTCATGTTCTGTCTCTCTCTGTCCCAAAAATAAATAAACGTTGAAAAAAAAATTAAAAAAATAAATAAATAAAAAGATGCCGCCTATTTAACAATGGCACTTTCTCCAACACTTACTAACTGCCTTAATTACATGGTTACTGTGTTGGTAGCTTAACATTCCTTGTTCTCACACAAACGGGCCTACAAACATTGTGGTCAGCCCTGATCCCATTAGAAACTAAGAACTTTTATGCTGAAGGTTATGTTTATGCTGATGTATTTGAATGCCATTTGGATATTTTGGGGTATATTGGATTGGTATATATATATATATATATATGGGGGTATATTTGGAGGCTGATTTTATTCAGAGAGTGAACCTATCACCTTTCTGACATACTAGATCTTTATCAAACCCCAGAATAAAATATACATTACTTTTTAAAAATTACCTGACATGATACTGTCTGTACAAAGCCCATAAAAACAATAAAAGTAATAGCAGTTGACTTGTTTTTCTTCTGTATTTCATCCTTTCCTAAGAGGAAAAAGAAACAGATAAAAATAGATTAAATATAGTACAATGAATACAGAGTAAGCTGTGTTGAATTGTGACTCTCCATGACTTTAACTAGCTGATTTAATATATATTGGCTAGGAATTAAGGCACCTCTGGTCCTTGGATGTCTCTCTATATGAAAATAGAGTTAAGCCAGCGGAGACACTTTTTATGGGAGCCAGCTGCCCGAAGCCAGGACATTAGCTCGTCTAAGCTGGCCTTGATGCAAGAGATTTTATAAACTTCATTTGTCTTTTCTAGAGTACACAAGGCTTTTCCTGCAGAAGAGAAAAATACAAATGCCACTTCCCAGCATAACTCACAGAGCGTGGTGTCAGAGAAAAGAGAAAATTGAGAAAATACTTGGACTTCAAAGAGGTATGTAGTTATGAAGGAACTATCTTTAGTGAAATAGTATTATGAAGTTCATCATCCCAAGACAGATGATAGGACTGATAACAGCATAAAATAGATGCTCCTTCTCAAAAGTATTTGAATATAAAATTGATTCCAAGCATGGGCTAGAGGCTAAACTATAAAGTTTAGATTATTTGTACATTGACTTGATATTTTAGCCATCAAGTTTGTAAAGCTCCTTTGTGATATTTCGTCTATGCAATATGAAATTGTGTGCAGAGAAGGAGTTGAATGTATCTCGATTTGGTTGAAATGAAGGACAAACTCTTACCTTTTGTTTCCCTAAGATCATAGAGGACTTTTGCACAGTTTCTTCCTTGGAGACTCAACACTTATGGCATGGTGGTTTGGGAAGACATGTGGAAAATCTCAAGTGGGCAGACGGTTTTCAAGCAGGACCTTCTGAGACCTTTGAAAAGTCATGAATCAGATACCCTGGTAGTGGTTCTTCGGCACTCCCCAGTTTGCCTGCTTATTATTTCAGTCTTCTGGGAATGATGATGTCATCACATTCTCTTTTGATGATGAAAGAATTAGATACTTAGAATCATAACAATTCATAAGCCAGTAGCTTCTCTTTGACATTACCAAGGGACTAGATTTTTCTCCCATTTAGGAAACAAACAAACATAGGATCATTGAAGTTCTTTTCTTTACTTGAGGTTTTTAAGCCTTCTACTACATTTTTAATTGAAGTACAACTTACATAACGTAAAACACATGCAATTTAGGTGTACAGTTTATTGTGGTTTTTTACACATGTCCATGTATATGTAAAAACTATTAATTAAGACACAGAACGTCTCCATGACCCCAGTATTTTTTTCTTGTGCCCCTTTGAGTCAGTACCGTCTCCCCGCCCAGGAAATCAGTGTTCTGATTTCTATGACTACAGCTGAGTTATTCCTGCTATGGAAGGTCATATAAATAGTGTTGTATGACAGGTACTCTGCATTTGGTTTTTTTTCACTCATGGTTTTGCAACTCATGTATGTTGTGTGTATCTTATACATACCAAAAAGTTAATTCAAAACAAATTATAGATCGAACCGTACAAGCTAAAGCCACAAGCTTCTAGAGAAAAACATAGGAGGATATCTTTCTAACTTGGGCATAGATAAAGGTCTCTTAGGAGGTGACAGAAGACAATAACTAAAAAAATGATAAGTTGTTACCTCATTATAATTAGAAGACTTTTGCTTGTCAAAAGACACCATTAATAAATTAATAATGATCCATTACTACTCACAAATGGTTTATAGTAACCTAAATGATACACACCAATACATGATTCGTTCAGGAAATAAAATCCGTATTAATGTTAGAAGGTTTGTTTGTTTGTTTGTTTATTGTTTTTTTATTTAGAGAGGGAGAGAGAGTGTGAGCAGGGGAAGGGCAGAGAGGGGCGTAGGGGAGAGAAAATCCTAAGCTGTGCTGACAACACAGAGCCTAATGAGGGGCTTAAACCCATGAACCGTGAGATCATGACCTGTACCAAAATCAAGAGTCAGCAGCTTAACAGACTGAGCCACCCAGGTGCCCCTAATGTTAGAAGTTTTCTGTTGATCTCCATTAATCCTCGAAAAAAAGGAGGGTGGTGAAGGATGATAACAAAATTAAATTAATACAGAATTAGAATGTTTTGACTCATAGGAAAGTAAATTATACAGTCCAATGCCCCCAGAGATGACAGTCATGAATTCTAGAAGGGAAAATAAAATAAAAATTAAATAAATCTATTCGAAGGCAAAAGAGATGGACCGAAACCAGGCTGCTCCTTGAAAGAAGGGAAATGTATTGGGTAAAGTTTACATTTATACAACTTTTCATTTTGAGGTTATCTCCCAATTTACACGGAAGTGGGTAGCTAGAACTCAGAGAAAGACTTGAGTCAGTATGAAACTGGTAGATGTCAAGGAGGCAGAAAAGTAATAAGAAAATCCCAGAAAGAGGAACACAGAATGGAGAACCCCCAAATCTGCATAGAAACTGACTTAAATCCTGGATGACAACTAAACTGTCCATGAAGAGGAACAACTACAGTTTCCCCAGGAAATAGCAACATTGGAAATCGAGCAATTTCCACTTACGCCCCCTGTAGGGTAAATGGAGTTTGGAATTTGAGTCCAGCCCAGGTAACTATCTGTCCACACAAGAATCAACACTCTTCAGAGGAAAATGAGAGAATCCCGAGTCTCTACGTGTCATCTATAATGTCAGGCATACATTTCGGAAAAGTTGACAGACATGCAAAGAAACAGAAATACGTGACCCATAGTGAAGAGAAAGAGATCCCAATATAACTCAGGTGTTAGAAATGGTAAACGCAGGGGCTCCTGGGTGGCTCAGTCGGTTGAGCCTCCGACTTCGGCTCAGGTCATGATCTCACAGTCCGTGAGTTCGAGCCCCGCGTCGGGCTCTGTGCTGACAGCTCAGAGCCTGGAGCCTGTTTCAGATTCTGTGTCTCCCTCTCTCTCTGCCCCTCCCCTATTCATGCTCTGTCTCTCTCTGTCTCAAAAATAAATAAACATTAAAAAAAAAAAAGAAATGGTAAACACAGATCTTAAAGCAACAATTATAAAAATTTTTGAGGATTTATTGGAAAACTTGGCTAAAACAAATGAACATACAGGAATTTCTCAGCAAAGAAATGGAAGCTATTTATTTATTTATTTATTTTAATTTTTTTATTTTTTTAAAATTTTTTTTTTTCAACGTTTATTTATTTTTGGGACAGAGAGAGACAGAGCATGAACGGGGGAGGGGCAGAGAGAGAGGGAGACACAGAATCGGAAACAGGCTCCAGGCTCTGAGCCATCAGCCCAGAGCCCAACACGGGGCTCGAACTCACGGATCGCGAGATCGTGACCTGGCTGAAGTCGGACGCTTAACCGACTGCGCCACCCAGGCGCCCCGGAAGCTATTTAAAAAAGGCATTCTAGGGACACTTGGGTGGCTCAGTCAGTTAGTTAAATGTCTGACTCTTGATTTCGGCTCAGGTCATGATCTCATGGTTCGTGGGATCAAGCCCCATGTCGGGCTCCCTGCTGTCAGTGCAGAACCCGCATGGAATCCTGTGTTCCCCCTCTCTCTCTGCCCCTCCCCTGCTCACACTCCCTCTCTCAAAAATTAATCAACATTTTATTTTATTTTTTTTTTAAACTTTTTTTTAATGTTTATTTATTTTGGGGACAGAGAGAGACAGAGCATGAACGGGGGAGGGGCAGAGAGAGAGGGAGACACAGAATTGGAAGCAGGCTCCAGGCTCTGAGCCATCAGCCCAGAGCCTGACGCGGGGCTCGAACTCACGGACCGTGAGATCCTGACCTGAGCTGAAGTCGGACACTTAACCGACTGCGCCACCCAGGCGCCCCAAAAAATTAATCAACATTTTAAAGAAATCTAAGAAAAAATGGACATTCTAGAACTTTAAAAGTACCGTATTTGAAATGAGGATGTCAGTGGATGGGTTCACAAATGGACTGTATACAGTAGAAGAAAAGGTCAGTGAAATGAAAGACAGATCAATGTTAACCATCTGTGAAAAAGAGAGGAAATGAAAGTCCGTTTACATTTACACTGCAATCAGAAGCCACCTTAGCCATCCACGTGCAGAAATTTCCACACTCTCTCATTACGAGAGTCTCTCCCCAAGAGGAGGGCCTTCTGGAGGAGGGAAAAAGAAGGGGAAGCAGTGTCTGGTGGTTCAGCAAATAGGATAGCGAGGCATGAGCCGGCATAAGAACATTCAAAACCTGTTTTAAAGCCCACCCACTTTCAGGAGGTGTTTGGGATGGCTTACTCTTAAGAAGGTATAAGCAGGGATGCAACACAAGCATTTTTTTTAAGGCAACAGAAAAAGAGACATTTATTTAGTCACTTAGGTAGGTGTTTTCACACGACCTTGGGCGTCCTTGCCACGTCATCAGAATGAAGGTTTAACCTTCATGTAAGTACTGTAAGGAGGGACTTACTTCTATCATTTAGCTATTTGTTTTCTATATGCCTTGTACCTTTTTTTTTTTTGTTCCTTATTTTCTGCATTACTGTCTTCTTTCATGTTTAATTTTTTGTGGTGAAGGATTTAAGTTCTTTTTGCATTTCCTTTTGTGTGCGTTCTGTGGCTATTTTCTTCATGGTTATTATGGGGATTACATTTCAATTCCTGAAGTTATTACACTCAAGCTAGAATTTATACCACCTTAACTTCAATAACATACCGAAACTGTTCCTTCACACCCCTGTCCCCACCTCTCTTGATTGTTGATGTCACAAAATTACATCCTTATACATGGTGTCTCCAAAACCATAAACAAATAACTCTTTGAAATCCATTAGCCTCTTAAATTATGTAGCAAACAAAATTTGGAGTTACAAACCAAAGTTATAATAATACTAGCCTTTAGACTAGTAATTTTTAAGACTCTATTAGTCTCTAAAGTAACATGGGAAACAGAAACTAGAGTTATACACTGTCGTTACAATACTGGCTTTTATAATTGCCCATGTATTTTATTTTGTTTATTTTTCTAAGTTTATTTATTATTTATTTTGAGAGAGAGAGAGAGAGAGAGAGAGAGAGAGAGAGAGAGAGAGGGGGGGAAGGAGAGGGGGAAGAGAGAGAGGGCAAGAGAGAGAATCCCATGTAGGCTCCACACTGTCAGTGCAGAGGTGATGTAGGACTCAAACCCACAAAGCATGAGATCATGACCTGAGCTGAAGTCAGATGCTTAACTTACTGAGCCACCCAGGCAACCCTATTTTTTATTTTTTTAATGTATACATTTTTAATGTTTATTTATTTTTGAGAGAGAAGAGGGAGCACTAGCAGGGGAGGGGCAGAGAGAGAGGGGGGACAGAGGAACTGAAGAGGGCTCTGCACCAACAGTGGAGAGCTTGATGCGGGGCTCAAACTCACAAACTGAGAGATCATGACCTGAGCCGGAGTCAGATGCAACCAGCTGAGCCAACCAGGTGCCCTGCCCATGTGTTTACTTTGATGAATATCTTTACTTTTCCATGTAGCTTTGAGTTACTATCTAATGTCCTTTCATTTCACCCTGCAAGACTCTCTTCTGACTTTCAGTTTCTAATGAGAAATCTGCCAGTAATCTTATTGAGGATCCCTTGTATGTGATGAGTCATTTCTCTCTTGCTGTTTTCAAGATTCTCTTTATCTTTATCTTAATTTTTCAAAAGTTTGATTATAATGTGTCTCAGTGTAGGATCTTTTTCGGTTCGTCTTACTTGGAGTTGATTGAGCTTCGTGGATGTTTATATTCATCTCTTTCATCAAACTTGGGATGTTTTCATGCATTATTTCTTGACATATTCTCTCTTTCTCTTCTTCTGGGATGCCCCCAACGCATATGTTGCTCTGCTCAATGATGTCCCATGTTTCTTAGGCTCTGTTCACTTTTCTTCAATCTTTTTACTTTCCATTCCTCAAACTCGATATTTATTGTCCTGTCTTCAGGCTCACTGATTCTTCCTTTTGCCTGCTTAAATGTGCCTTTAAATCCCTCTAGTGAATATTTCATTTTAGTTATTGTCATTTTCAACTCTAGGATTTCTTTTTGGTTGCTCTTTAGGCTTTCTCTCTCTTTATTTTACTTCTATTTTGTTCATACATCATTTTCTTGACTTCTCCCACATCTTCTTTTCATTCTCTGAGCATCTTTGACAGTTGTCTTTGTCTAGTATATTGGCCATCAGGCCTTTTTCAGGAACAATTTCTGTTTATTTTTTTCCTTTGAATGAGCCATACTTTTCTGTTTCCTTGTATGCCTTGTGATTTTTTTCTTGAAAACTGGACATTTAAATCTAATACTGTGATACCTCTGGAAGTTAGATTTTCCTCTTTCCCCAGGGTTAGCTGTTTTTTGTTATTGTTTTCATTTATTGTTTTTGCTTTTTTTTTTCTTTTTAATTATAGGCTGTCTCTGTGCCAAGGATCAGGATAAGTTGTAAATTTAACATCTTCTAGGTCTTTTCTGAGTATTTCCTTGGGTATGCATGGTCACTTACTAATTTCCCTGTATATGTAGTCTTTATCGAGTCTCCTAGTCTTTAGTATCTGGCTCCCCAAAGAGGAAAAGGGAAAAATGAGAAGAGCGAAAAGGAGTGCTGGCCCTTTAAATCCCCCGGCTGTCACTTCAGCTGAGGGGGGAGGGGCTGGCAACAATAGATGCCCGCCTCTTTGTCTGCACCTCTGTGATCCTAAGCAGCAATTAGTGATCAGAGCCCATTCTGGCTCCCATAAGCTGCCAGGAACATGTGCACAACTGCCTGCCACATGGCTGGGGGTGGAGAATAGGTGGCCGCTACTGTGCTAAGAGCTGAAATTGACCAAAATTCATCTTAATCTACCATCCAAGCCCTCCCTTGGAAG